ATACCTGTTTGAAAACATTTACAACATAATTGCTTGTTGCTTACCGCGGGAGGACTTCGTGCCGTGCTCCGGCCGTGGGAATGCTCATGGTGAGAAACAGGTGTGCTTCCGTGGTCGGAACGGTCCCCGCCGGCGCTGTCCCTGTCGCTGCCCCGCGTGCTGCAGGCCTGTGACAGGGCTCAGTGCTGGCTGGCGGATGGCGGGGTTCTTCGTGTCTCCGGCACTCAGCACCGGAGGCTGGTCCGTTAAGGAAGGGATTGGAATTCGATAATCTTTTAGGGTCCCTCTCCATGTTATTCAAGTCAGAGCCTGCGGAGAGCCTCATGCGAAATTAGTCCTCACCGAATCAGCGACAGACCGTCCAAGCACCGCAGGCTGCGGAGAAGGGTTTGTAGGGCGCGTGTAGTGAGCACGCGGGCGTGTGTGTGCAGCTCTGCGGGCGTGTGTGTGCAGCTCTGCACGTGTTCACTGAGCAGACTGCAGTCTCTAGGGGCAAAGGCAGCTTCCCGGGGTGCGAGGCCTACGGTGGGGGAAGAAACAGCTCCTGCCTCGAAGGAGCTGGTAACGTGCAGCACTTACTTTACGACACGTGTTTCCATTTTTTCCGTGTGAGGAGCTGGGCAGCAAAGAAGCACCCCGTGGTTGGTTAGGGGACACCGCGGGGGTGTGTGGCGTTCGATGGCCTGAGACTGATTGATGGCAGGGGAGCGGGCGCCTGAGTGCGGGGTGTTGGGCCTGCTCGGAAGAGAGGCACCACTCAGCCTGCGAAGGTCTGGGACGGGAGGGCGTTGCGTCCAGGGGAGATTTCGGGGTGTGTTCTTCCTCGTCCTCCCGCCGTCCCTGAATCTTCACTCTGCTCTGGCTTGTCCGGTCCGGTGGACGATGAGCAAGACCCTTGTTTGTGTTTGGGCCTCACCTGCTCCGCCAGGGAGAACGCTGGCCTGTGGGTTATAGCACAGAAAGGTTACCCCGTGGGGCAGAGGATGGTGCGTGGCAGCAGCACCGTACTCAGGTGGGCCCTTTGGGACCCGAGTCTCTTTCCCGGGCACTGGCTCCGGGGCTCCGTCTGCAGAGGAGCCAGGAGCCAGGCAAACCCGGGAGGGGTTGGGGCGCGCTGTAGTCCTTGGAGTGGGGGGTCTTGGAGCCGGGGCAGTTACAGCGAGGAAGGTCCAGGCGTCAGCTTGGGGATGGGGAGCAGGCGGGAAGCTGGCAGGTCAGCTGTCCCATCTTGCCCACACCTCGTCATGGCTGATGGCAGCCTTCCTGCACGGAGCGCTCGGGGCCAGGCCCTCTGCCGTCACTGCATAGGGCAGTTCTTGATCGGCTTGCCGAGCCTTGCCAGGTGGGTGGCTCGTTTTGCAGCTGAGGAACTGAGACCCAGAAAGGGTAAGAAAGCCGCCAGGGTGCAGCTTCACCGTCTCACGGCAGCCAGACCCCCCTGCGGGGAACGGGGCCGGCTCTGAGGAGCAGGCCCACGGAAGAGGGCCTCCCGCACGGCCCGGCCCTGCTCAGGACACCCTGCAACTGTCAGGTGGCACCTGCAGGGCCCACAAAGCTGGACTCTGCCCCTTCTCAAGGACAGGCCCAGCAAAGGTCCTTTAACCTTACTTGAAGGAGAGGTGCAAAAGCATCTCCTGCAGCCACCTGTTTCCGTCCGCCCTGGGGTCCCGGTGACTGCCACGTTTCCAGGCCCAAAGCACTTGTGGTGGATGAGTGGCTGTGGGCAGCGGGGCTCGGCACAACATACCTGTGTGGCCTGCCCCCTCCACCTGCCTCAGGGGCTGGGGCCTGGGCTGACCGAGTGGTGTGGGCTTGTGGGGAGGGCAGGTGGAGAGCAGGAGTCCCCAGACTGAGCAGCTGTTCCTGCCTCACATTTATCGGTTGTGAGGTGGGGGCCGCCCTGTGAGGGGTGCGGCCTGAGGTAGGGGTCTGCGCAGCCCACCCAGGCTTTGGAAGGACTGAGCTGAGGGCCAGCTGTTGACAGCCTCACCGAGGGAGGGCTTGGGCCGAGTGTCCCGCAGCCCAGAGGAGAGACCGCAGAGACTTAAGGCAAAAATGTGTTCTTTAACTGGTCCATTGCTGTACTTGACCTCACGTGATGTGGGACCTGGCTCGGCGAAGGTGGATGGGGAGATTGGTGGTTGAAAGGGACAGGTGTCCCAGTGGCGAGGCCATGCAACCGAAGCCTCTTTTTTCTTGGAACAGTGGACCCAGTTCACTGGAGCCGGCTCTTCCTGGGTGTTCCATAGTCAGCCTTGGCGCGACCGGCCGGGACAGGTCTGTCCCTACGAGCACCGTGGCCACACCAGCTCTTCATTCGCACCCCAGGGTGGTTCTTGGGGACAGCCTCCAGGCCAGACCTGGAGAGGGCCTGCAGTGCATTCCCCAGGGGTGTGCAGCACTTGGGGTTTCTGGGTGAGGAGGAAGGGCTGCCATCCGCCCTGAGTTTGGGAGCTGGGGACAGTGGGGAGAGTGTCAGACCTGCGCGTTTCCTGTTGGCCCCAGCTCGGGCCCAGGGAGCCAGCGCCACTGTTCTCAGCCACAGAGCAGGTGGCGCTGTGTTCCTGGCGGACCTTTGGGGATCCCATGGGTCTGAGTCAAGCCCTCGGGCAGAGTCACTTTCTTGTCGATCACTTGTTCACTCAACAAACACATTAGTGCCGGCCGTGTGCCAGCACACTGTTAGAGACCCCCAAAGACCCCAGGGGCTCCAGGCAGGCTGGCGGGAGCCTTCTGCCTGTGTTAGTGTTCGTTAAGTGAGGGGATTTAGAATCGGGCTCACGGAGTTCAGGGTCAGCTCTGGGACTGGGGAACTGGAGGGAGTGTCTCGGGATGCAGCTTTGTCCACGTGGGCCCTCACCCAGGCGGTTCCTGACGTTCTCGTGGCAGCAGGCAGGTTCTGGGCCCGGGCCCGTGGTGTCGGCTCTCCTGGCCCAGGCCTGGTCTGCAGAGTGGAGAGGCCTGGCTGGCCGCCTGCCTAGCACGTAGGGTGCAGGTGCTTGCACAAGGCACCACGTGGGCCTCCCTGGGGTGAGCGCCTCTATCCGCATGAGCAGTGCAGTCATGTGACCGTACAGGACGGGCCCACCCAGGGCCATTCCAGGAGGAGTGGGAATGAGAACCATGTATTGCCCTTCAGAGCTGGGCCCGGCGTGTTGGCAGGATCGTCCCAGATGCCCACCCCAAACCAGCACGTGTGGCGGAGCCTTCCTCCCGCAGAGGGTGGTGGGGCCACGTGAGCCTGGGCCTGCACTCCACAGTGTGCTGCCGGAAGGCCTCCCTCAGACCCGGTGGGAGGGCCGTGGGGGGCGGTGGCAGTGCTGTCTCTGGGGGTGGATGCCTTGGGTCAGCTGTTCCTGGGGGGGGGCGGGGGGCACTCCACAGGTGCCAGGAGTGCGGAAGAGGCACTCAGGGCATCAGGACAGGAAGCTGAGACAAAGCTCTTGTTCAGGGACCCTCAGAGGCGGTGGTTCAGGCGGACGGAGGGGATCGAGTCCCCTGGGAAGGAGCTACCGTCTCTGCCTTGGTCACGGGCGCAGCTGCCCTGCCCGGTGTTGCCTGGTGGGGTTTGGAGCCATCTGCATGTGTGATCGACCTTTTGTCTTAGCTCAGGCCACTGTTACAAAACACCACAGACTGGTGGCTGCAATGACAGACGTTTATTTCTTATGGCTCTGGACGCCGGGACATTCTAGATTGAGGCTCCTGCAGATTCGCTGCCTGGTGAGGGTCCTTTTACCTGAGCCACGCTGCCCTGGCCTGTCTTCTCATGAGGTCATAATCCCATCATGAGGGCCCCGCCCTCAGGAGCTCCCTAACCCTAATCCCCTCCCAAGTGCCCAGCTCCTAATACTGGCCTCTGGAGGGTAGGGCTTCAGCATATGACCCCTGGAGGCACGTCTGTTAATTTAGGACACGGTTTGGTCCTAGTTCGGTCCCTGCGCCTTTGGAATGCCTTGGTCCCCAGCCTCGGTCCCCAGCCTCGGTCCCCAGCCTTGCAAAGAGAAAGGCTCCTCCCGCCAGGACGTTCACACCGGGAGCATTTGCTGGCGAGTGCGCTCGCTAGTCCAGTGCTTCCTGAGCACCCCCGTGTGCCAGGGCTGGGGCCAAGTACCGCCTTGGGGCCGGGTGAGACGGCACAGCCCCTGCCACAGGGAGCGGGCACGGGAAGGGGTGAGCACACGCCCCGTGGGGGCCACTGGGTAGTCGGTGGGTTTGGGAGGCGCCTTTCAGGGCAGGCGTGCTTTGAGTGGGCTCTGCGGTTTTATCTTTAGTTAGAAAGGAAAAGAGTCTCGCTTCTCAGAAGGAAGTAGAGCAGCCACGGGATTGTGCAAGGTGCCAGGTGCCTCCGGGGGAGGCTGGGCCAGTGCGGGTGGCGGTGTGACGTGAGCTTCTCGGGACAGGAACTTCGGCAGTCTGAAAACATCTGGATGTCTCGTCACCTCACAGGTTGTGGTAGTGCCCTTAGTCACTGGAGTCTGCAGGGAAGGGCCGCTGCTTTGCCAAGAGGCCTCAGGCAGATAAAGCAGTCGCTTGTTTCCTTGGTCATCGTCTTCTCATTCGAGGATCGTAAGGTGACAACCATTGCTCTGCATAGTGTTTGCCATCTTTGACGTGTAGAGAAACTACTTGTTGTTTGTGACAGCTCCCCGCGATGAACCCGCGTGAGCATCCCTGGCCTATTTTGTCTTCTGTCCTGGGCCAAATTAAAGTGCCTAGCAACTTTATTGAGGTCCTTGTGCCCCCAAGACTGTCTTCCTGACCTGCACTAGCTCTTGGCCAAGAGCCTGCAGAGGCACTGGCCGGTGGGGGTCCCTTCTGGGCTGGGTCTGAGAGCTCTCCCCGGCCCTCGTCCACCTGCGTCAAGGGAGCTATGTTGAACGTGGAAATGCAAGCACAAGCTCGGCTTTGGAGTCTCCTTCTACCCTGCAATGTCCACTGCAATGTGAAGTTATTGACTCCAGCTGTGTAAACAGCTGTGCGTGAATCCTTTAGCTTGGCAGAGGAGCCCACAGCAGTTTTCTCGGCCTAGGGAGAGTAAAAACTTCAGAGGCCTGGGCCCCACCTAGCGCTTTGGGTGTCGTGGTCTGGATAAGGGGGAGGGGAGTTTGCTCAGCAGGTTCCAGATCGCAGTCGTTGTGCACAGCTCCAGAGCTCACTGAAGTCACAGCTCGTGCTCTGCATAGGTCTGCGTCATAGCAGGCAGGTCGCACCTGGCCAGAGCTGTCGGAAGCCCAGCAGAAACCTCCCAGGTGATTGGCGTGCGGCCGGGGTGGAGAGCCCCTGCCCAAGGGGATGCCCCTCGCCCCCACGCTCGTTCCTGTCATGGTGCTCGGTCGTCATGGTGCCCTGGTCAGCCCCCCGCTCCGTCCCGTGTCCAGACGTCGGCTCTTCCCTGTCCTTCGGCACCATACCGTTTCTCAGACATCTTACTGCTGTCATGGGGCCCTCTTCACGTTCTCTGGCACGGCCATTGTTTCGCCAGACCTTCGTCAAGCTGGGCGGCCAGCGGCTGGTGGCTGCAGATGGCACAGGCCCCCTGTGGAGAGTTGCCCTACCCCACCGCCCGCAGCTCCCCGTGCGCGGGCCCTCCCGCCCCACGCGGTGGGCCGCTCTCCATCCTCTCTGCTCTTGGGCCCCGGGCTCTGCCTTTGCTGGGCCCCTACTGCCGCCCGAGTGCCCACCCCACAGGTCACCCGGCCTCCGCTTCGCCTTTTCTGAAGTTGTCCTCTCAAAGCAGAGCTTAGCGACTTTCATTCACAAGTCTCCCTTAGGTCCCCATTGCTGCCATATAAAGCTTACAAGTCTGAGCGTGCCTCAGCCCCGGGCCCCTGCCCTGAGGTGGACCCTGTGTCCCCGCCCTGCACCGCGCACCCCCGGCTCCCCTGCCGGTCTGGTTCTATGCTGTCGCACGTCACTGACTTGCCTCCTTGGAGTGAGACCACTTGTCCGCCTCTGCAGGACCGAATGCTGCCCGCTCTGTAAGGCCCGCTCAAAACCCTCCTCCCCGGAGTCCCCACGGCCTGAGCGGGCCCAGAGCACGTCACGGCGCGTCTCAGACAGAGACCACTCGCCCGCCCCGTTATTGCTGGGCGTCCCCCCAGACCTCAGCTGTTCGCAACAGGGTGTGGGCCGGTTTAGAGCTTGTCCTGGCCGAGGAGTGCTGGGCTCAGACGCTGATGAGTGACGGGTAGACGAGGCCCTGGAGCGGAGTGCCAGGGCCAAGGAATGTCGCTCCAAGGGCGAGGGCACGACCCCCACGGGACGGAGCGAGTTTCCTCTCACTGGAAAAGTTTGGGCGCAGACTGGGCGAGCCCTCACGGGGAGGCAGGTGCGGAAAACGGGAAGACCCCAGGTGCAAGTATAAATGAGACGCAGGGCAGGAGCTCTGCCCTCGGGCGACCAAGGCTCCAAAAACCGTCAGCGACTCTTTACCTGCCGGTGGTTTCTGTGTTGGTTTTACGCGTTTCATTCATACTAAAGCAAATTTTCAAGGGCCTTTGACTGCACTTGGTGGCGTCTACAAGTCACTTGGTATATTTGAAAGCAACTTCATGGCTAAAGTCTAAACTTGAGACCCATGGCAGGTTTCGGTAAGTTCAGAGTATTTCCCTCAGTGTTCTGGAGGAAATTTGACGATTTAGAACTGCTGATTTTCTGTGGAGTGACTGATCTTAACAGTAATCTCTTTGTTTCTACAGAGGTTGCAGAACTCGAAGCGAACTTACCCTGTAAGTATAGCATCACCGTTCAACATTAAGTGCTCAAAACTAATTGCACGGAGTAGCTTGTTTTGTGTTTTAATGACCTCGCGGAGCAGAAAGCCCGCTCTTTGTGTCCGTGGGGCCTACACGTTGATTTTGTGCAGGCGGGTAGCCCACAGTTCTCAGGGGTCTGAGGAGCGAGACCACTACGGTCTGGCTGAACGTAGCACCTCCTGCTCCCTCTCCTCTCTGAGACGGTCTGTGTCTCCCACCGTGTCTGCCCCACACCCTCTTTGAGCGAGGCGATGGGCGGTCCTGTTTTTGCTCGTGACAGTACACCTTTCCGGTCTGGAGAGTGCTCGCCTGCCGTTCGTCTTGGGTCGTGAGCTGGGCCGACCGCCCTGCCTTTGTGGCCGGGGCCCGCCGGGCCCGGTCCCTCCTGCTCAGACGCAGAGCGCCGCGGGCCCCACTCCTGAGCAGCTCGCGCACCAGGCGGTTAGCTCATGCGACCTGTGGCAGACTCTCCTTCCCTGTCATTAATTCCTTCCCAAACCCTTCATGTTTTATAAGACCATCGAAGTCTGAAATCTTCGGTCAGTTTAGTATTTTCTTGATTTAAAACTTTTTCTCATCATACTTAATTAAAAAATCGTTCCGAGGCAGAGGATGTTTATTGATGGGGGTGAAATATTTTACGCATGGGTCACCTGGTCTGGGCGAAGGCTGCAGAGAGCCTGTCCTGGAGGCCTGCCCGACGCAGGGGAACAGGCTGATTCGGCCTCCACCTACCTGAAGCTGGAAGGACACTTATGGGCACAGCCCTTAAGTGGTTGCAAAGTTAGATTCCAAGGGTAAGTACATATTGTTTCCTAAAAAGTCATTTTTAATACATAAGATTTACGGGTATAGTGGGCTGTGATATAAAATATTTCTCATATAGTGAGTCTCAGTCAGAGTGTCTTAAAAGTCATCAGATCGCTTGGCTTCAAAGTTTCCTTCCGATCGGAACGACCAGGAAGTACCCTGGGATCCTGTTAAAAGGTTATCTTTCCACCTGCCGAAGTATTTACAGATGGTTTGCTTTAAAACGTTCCAGGAAAATAACCAACCGCGAGTTTGGTCAGGCTGGACAGAGCGAGATATGCAGGCTGAGTGGTGGCTGCATTTTACTGTTCTCTTTCCCCCAGTTCTTTTAAGATGAAGTGTGTGGGGACATTTTTCTAATTAAAGGGTGAAGTGTTCCTTCTACTTTCTGCTGCCCTCGTGTCTTCCCCCAGGTTCCACGCGTGCACACGTGCAGACACGTGATCACGTACCACGCAGCCTTCCCATTGAAACACGGTTCGTCTGGTCCTTGAATGTGACTCTTGCAGAGATCGTTGGTTTTTAACCCATGGAGTCGCTTTAGCTTTGGTTAAAAACAATGAAATTTTACAACTGGCTATCAGAGCAGGATTTTAACTAAATACCTTAGGTTTGAAAAAGGCAGGACCCACATCCCTAGCCGGTACAGCCGAGGTGTCAGGTTACAGAGCCTACATGCCACACACGCCCTGGTCCCCAGTCACAGGGCGGGAATCGAAGTCAGTTCATGCAAGTAAGTCCACCAGTATGCAACTCATCATTCGAAACAAGAAGCCGCCCCAAATAAATCTTTCTTATCTGTTTTAATAATCTTTCTAAAATATTTATTAAGGCAAACAAGTAATTTGCCATGTAGTAGTGCTGTTTAGTAATTACTCAGAGCTACTTTGGAACATTGTGCATGCAACTTCACAGAGGTTTCTCTGTTTGCAAGAAATAAAAAATATTCGGATAGAAGGAAATACCGCGTGCGTCAGCCCACGCCTACAGGTAGAGGAAGCTTAGTAAAGCCCCTGCACCAAACCGACCAAAACCTCACTTTCAACCTTTTATTGTTGTTATTCGAGCTTTGACTTCTTTTGCTGTTTAAAAATTTTTTTTTTTTCAGTAGGAAAATTCCTACTGAAAATTCCTTTATTCTCGGTGGCCAGTGTATTGTAGAGGGATTTCTACATCTGTACCTTTATCAAAGCAAAGGCGAATGCTAGGGGTTAAGAACGAATGGATGACGCCATCTCCGAGTAATAAGGAAACATCGCCCCATCCCCTGCCATGTTTTCGTGACACGTTTTTCACTGGAAAGACGGCATTTATCTCTTCGACTCTTAAGCTTAGGAAAAACGAAGCCCATTTAGGTTATTCCATGCACATTTCAAATGTGTGATGTGGGTGAAAGTCTGGAACGCTTTGGCCCCCAGTTTCCTTATGTGTAAAACGAGGAATATGACAGTGCGGCCTCTGAGACCTCCGTCTTCTAGACCGAGTTACCTTTCACCCTGCACTGATTTTCGGGAGGGTTGGCTACGAAAAAGAACCCCACCCACAGTTCTGCAGTTTCTGCCTGCCACACCTGGCATGTTCGTTAATGACACGAGTCACGAACTAGTTTTTGGGAACTAAACTTCCTTCTGTCGATAACCTGTGTGATCTTGGGGTGGTCACCAAACCTCTCTGGACCTTCATGTCATCTCATGACTGAGGACTTTGGACTAGATGGTGTCGAAGGCCATTTCCAAGTCTAAATTTGAATCCCATTTTTGATGAAAATTTCATACTATTGTAAAAGGAGGCAAATTTTTCTGTGAGATTCGTACAAAATAATGTCAGTAGATGACCCAAGGAATTTGTCATGATATTTTCCATGTTTATAAAACACAGTTTCTACGTATGGTTTCTCCAGATTCCTTGGGTACTTCCCGTTGTGTACCATTTTCTGAAGGAGGCAGATGTAGGATGTAGCCACCTTGCCCGGTCTGTACCGCTAGCTCCTCTCCCCGCAGGAACCCCCGCCAGACCCAGACCCCTGCTGGCCTGGTGCGCGTGGGCATGGAGCGCCGCCATCTGGGTCAGCAGCGTCATTTCACCAGTGAAGCAAGCCAAGGTACCACTTGGGTCGTGAAGACGTTTTTAATAAATGCCACGCAGAACCCTGGGTGTGAGCCAGCTCAGCCGCCACACTCCTGACGTGTCCCTCGCTGTGGCAGGTGCGGATGACCGTGGTGCTAGGTGAACAGACCGGAAGTTAGCCTGAGTTCTTGTTCTCGTTTGCACATGTTTAGCTGCCCTTCATCCACAGGTGTCGATCTCCCCGAGGTTTGGTGTTTTTTTCAATGTAGCATGATCCTCGAAATTAATGGAAAGATCTCTGTCGTTAGTGACCATTTAAAGGTTAAGAGAGAAGCTCTCGATTTGTGATGTGGTGGTAGAAGACCGTCGGGAGGGACCGGCGGGAGGGAGAAGCGCCGTGGGTTTGCAGCCCCAGCACACCGGCAAGTTCACTGCTGACCAGCGAGGCCGTGGGCGCCGCGGCCGCTCCCAGACCTTCCTGACGTGCTGTTTCTCTTGCAGGTACATGTAAAGTGCATTTTCCTGATCCAAACAAGCTTCATTGCTTTCAGCTAACTGTAACCCCAGGTAATATTTTTACGTACCTAAGTGTTAAAGTGATTTTCAAACAGCAAATTTTAAAGGCTGCCCAAACCTAGAATCTTTGGCCCGATTTGTCCTCTAATTTTTTGGAAGTTCTGGCAGTAATGACTGTTCACATGAAGACAAGTGATGCTTTGCAGTCAGATAAAGCCTAGTAACGTGAATCTGAGGCATCGAGCGTGTGCTCCAGCGAGTGGGGACAGACTGATGACCGCGGCGAATGGGGACAGAGGCGGTGGGTGTGCGGTGAGGACCGTGAGCTCTGAAGGCCTGGCGGGTTCCGATCCTGCTCCCCTTTGTAGCAGCAGCGTGACCATGGCCGATTTGCTTAAACCTCTCGCGGCCGCAGCCCCAGCTGTAACATGGGGCTGGAGCCGGCCCTGTGTGAGGGGACAGCTGTGAGGACTGCAGGGACAGTGAGCGGAGCGCCTCGCCCAGGCTGCTGCAGCAGGCACATCGCCCGCCATCCTCGGGGCTGGGCCGTGTCTCAGCTCAGGGGCTCGGGACGGGAGCGGACTTCTCCTTGGTCAGACGGGGCCACGGGGGGTGACTTGTGTTTTCTCTACTCAGCACGGCTCCCCGGGTTGCCCGGCCTGGTGGCAGCAGCCACTGGGCGTCGGGGTGGTGCCATGGCCGGGGGGACGACAGGAATGGAGGAAGTGGAGGGCGTTGTTTTATTCAGGGGGTGGAGAGGGGGCGAAAAGTGAGACTCGTGAGTCACTAGCTGATGTAAAAGGGAAAGATGAATTTCCTTGGGTGAAAATGAGCCCACAAATAAGCCCCGGCACTGTCTCCCTGTAGGTAGAGTGGTGTTTTGTTTGTTTGTTTGTTTGTTTTTATGGAAGATGTCTTGTTACAGCAGGAGAGATCCCATTTTCTAAATGTGCTTGAAAAGTGGGGAGGGAGTTGCGGCCGGACACTGTTAGAGATGGCGTGTCACGCGCCTGAGCCCGCAGGCCACTGGCGCTCCAGGCTTTAAACTAAAAGGATGGAAATGGCCACCGTTCCGACCATCGCACACCCCGGCGCCCCCCCCCCGCCCCCGCCCGCTGTTCTCAGCAGGGGGCATCGAGCATGCTCTGTGTCGTGGAGACTCAAGGCCACTGTCGTGGATGTCACTTGCTGTGGCGGAAGCATTGCAGGTGATTCTCACAAATTCTCGTGCCGGCGGAGACCGGTTCTCCGTTGACCAAGCGGTCTCAGACTCGCGTGTTTCTGCTAAAAGTCTTTTCCGCCCTCTGCCTTCCTAGGGCATTTTCAGTGGCTGTCGGGGCCCTGTCGCTCTGCCCCCTGCCCCGGCAGGGGGGGGTCTGTGGTCCCTCTCAGACCCCTGGTTGACTTTGTAAGGCTTATTGCTGTGGCCCATGGCTGAGCTTGTGTGGAGTCCAACTTCTGGATAATGGTTACTTTTTTGTTTTTTTTTACTGTATTTTTAACAAATTACGTGGATGTTGTGATTATGTGTCTGAAAACACCTTTGACGTTCCTTTTGTTCTTAAAAGCGGAGCGCACTGTTTATCACAGTTTTGGTATTCGCTGTTGGATCGGATAAAAAAGGGCCCTGCGTTTTGGTCCCTGTAGCTGCTGAGTACCTTAGCATTTGTACTTGTAACCACTGCACACCAAGGACACGATTGTCACTCTCAGCCGGCACTGAGCATGCCCATCACAATCGTGTGCCGCCCTCGCCCTGTGGGGTCAGCGGGTCGGAAGGTCACCGAGGTGCCTGCCACTTGTAATTACAACATGGCAGCGTTCTGCCAACCCGAACTTCCCTGATGCAATCAATGGTCTTAAGAAAACTTTCCGGAGTCACGCTTTGCATTGAAAAAAATGACAGAGCTGCGCCTACGTAGCGGAGTTCTAACGAGGTGTGAAGCAGATGGTTTCGAAGTGGCTCACGCACAGCCAGTAGTCCTGGGGCTGAGTCTGCGAACTCGGTGACATGGAAGGTCTAGACTCGGGGGTGGCAGTGGAAGCTTGAAGCGCTTTATCTGGCTTCTGGCGAAGTAGCCCTGTTCGTCTTTCAGAGCTGTTTGTGTTTGGAATGTCCGTCATGCTTGGGAATAAATGTACTCTCCAGAGAAAAGAAGGAGCTTTATTTGGTGCTAGAGGAAAAGAAGTGAATTTAGGAGGAAAAAGAAGTTTTCATATCAGTTCACAAAACAAGAAAAAATACTAGTAAGTAAAACGGGAGAAAACAAAGCAAAACTCTGAAGACTGGCTGAAATCTCTCTAGAGCCTTCTGTGAAGTTAGAGGGACGGTTTGTTGTTGCTCAGCTGGCCTGTGGCGTCCCCTCAGCCTGCCCGCTGTGACATGGTGGCTTTCAGGCAGAGGTGACCACGGACTTAAACAAAAATTATTATCGTTTTAATTTTGGTTTTTCCTTTGTAAGTAAATTTTACTGAGGTGTAAAATTACAAAGATGCGCTAATTCGAACCGCGCAGCTTAATGAGTTTTCAAAAATGTGCACACCTGTGTAAGCACCCCCGGCAGAGTTGCGAATCAGTGTGGCCAGCGCATGAGCTCACGTGAACGAAGCTCTTCGTGCTCGTGTTACGTAAGAGAATCTTCGGCATCGCCTGTGCCCGCGTGCGCATCTCTGGCTTCTCCCGTCCCGTGGTTTTGTGTTCGTGCGCGCTGTTGGCTGTCAGTCGTTTGTTCCTTTTTCTTTGTGGTACGCATCTGCCGTGATTGTTCATTTTCCTGTTGATGGACATTTGAATTCTTTCCAGCTTTGACTATCACAAAGAAGACTGCCGCTAGCATTCTCGTACCCTCCTTTCTATGCTCATATTTGTCATTTCTCTTTAATTCCACTTCACAGTGAAATTTGTGACTCATGGGAAAGACGCGTTTAACTCGAAGAAGCTTTCTCCAGTGGTTGTGCCGTACACCAGCTAGCACTGTGTGAGAACTCATCATCGCTCTACGTACTCACCAGTATTTGGGTGTGGAGTAGTAGCTCATCGTGGTTTTGATTCGCGTTTGCCCAGTGCTGGGGTTTTGACGGCGACTGGGTCGATGCTGTGCATCAGTTCGGCAGCAAACAAGGTCGTAACAGTACCGAGGCTTCTTCCCATCTAAGAGCACGGAGCATGCTCCGTTCGTTCCAATTTTCTCTAGTTTCTCGGCAGGATTTCGTATTAACAAAATACTTCATTAAATACATTGCTAAGTGTGTCACGGTTTTTGAAACTGTTGTAAATAGTACTTTTTAAATGTCCATTTACTCGTTCCTAGTATATAAAAATACAATTGATTTTTTAAATATAGATCACATGTCCTGTTACCTTGCTAAGTTCAATTATTGAATTCTAGTAGCTTTTTAACATATTCTGAGGGTTCCTATAATGTCCACACTTGTAAATAAAGACATTTTGGCTTTCTCATCAGTCCATACGCCTGTCTTTGTTGCTGTGCTGCCATGGCCACCAGCACTGTATTAAATACAGAGAGCATGAGTCTCTCTGCCTTGTTTCTGATCCCAGCGGGAAACCATTCATTGTTCATGGAATGTGATGTCAGCTGTAGGTGGTTGTTTTTTTTTTAACATGACCTTTATCAGATTGAAGAGTTTGCTTCTTTCCTAGCCTGCATAGATTTTTTATCATGAATATGTTTTTAACTTTTTCAGATTTTTTTTTCACATCAATAGAGATGATCATATGATTTTTCTCCTTTGTTTTGTGAATATGGTGAATGGCACATTGATTTTTGAATGTTAAACCAACATTGCCTTCCTATAATAAGCCCCACTCAGTCATGATGCATTGTCTGTTTCTTATGCTGCTGGATTCAGTTTGCTAGTGCGTGGTTCCAGAAGTTTGCATCAGTGTTCGTGAGGAGTGTTGGTTTATTGTCGTTTCTTTGGTTTGACATCAGGGCGATGCTGGCCCAGGAGAATAAATGAAGAAGCATTTTCTTCTGTTTTCTGAAAAAGTTTGTGTAGGACTGGTATCATTTCTTCCGTAAGTATTTCGTAGAATTTACGAGCTAAGCAAGCTGGACCTGGAGTTTTCTTTCTTGGAAAGTTTTAATTTATGAATTAAATTTATTTAATAGGTACAGGGTTATTCATCCGTTATGTTTCTTAAAGTCAACTTGGGTCGTTTTTTTCTTTCAAGCAGTTTGTCCATTTCATCTAAGTTGAAGAACTGATTGACGTAAAAGTTCAGAATATTCTCTCATTCTTCTAATGTCTTCAGGCCCCGTACTGACGCCCCGTTTTCCGTTCCTGATATTGGCAACCGGGTCTTCTCTTTATTTTCTTGATGATGTTAGCTTGAGATTTCTCCAGTTGACCTTGGCAAAGAGCTAGCTTTCGTTTTTGTCATTTGTCCATTTCACTGATTTCTGCTTTTATCTTCACTATTTCCTTCCTTATACTTTGGGTTTAATTTGCTTTTCTTTTTCTTCCTTCTTAAAGTAGAAACTTAGATCATTTAAAACCTTTTAAAACAGTGTTGCTCGAGGTGTGTGACTTTAATTTAGCATGATGCTTTTTCATCCATGTTGTTACAATAGTATTTCGTGTCTTTATTGATGAGTTGTGTTCCGTCATATGGGCGTATACCGGTTTACTTATACATCCATCCGTCGATGAACCTTTGTGTTGTTCACTTTCGGGCCATTATGCATAAAGCTGCTGTAAACGTGTGAGCGCAGGTCTTTGTCTGCCAGTGTGTGTTTATTTCTCCTGGCAGTGGAATTACTGGGTCCTGTGACAGGAGTAAGTTTAACTATATAAAATACCGCCGTTCTCTTTTCCAAAGTGAAAGCACTATTTTGCATCCCTGCCAGCCATGCCTGAGGATTCCAGTTACCCCACGTTCTTGCCAATGACTGCTGTTCCCTCTTTGAGTTTGCCTTCCTAGCAGGTGCATCTCTCATTGACTTTAATTTGCATTTCCCTAATGGCTGATGAGGTTGAGCGTCTTTTCCGTGCTCGTTTGCTATCTGTGCGTTTTCTTTGTTCAATTG